GATGTGGGTGCTGGCTTTCCCTACGGTTCGTGCAATGAGGGGCACGTTGAGGGGAGTGGTGACTATGGTGCTTTTCACTCCTCTTGAGGCGAAGACTCTCGCCAGATCAACGCAGGGTATGATGTGACCGTTTGCTGGGAAGGGGAAGAATAACACGTGAAGCTCGCCATGGTCGATGCCCATGCTGTGTTTCTAAGGACAAACGATGGATACTGAGAATAATGTGGGTATTGCTATTACCACTTGTTCTCGTTATAGTGGAACTTTGATGTCGCGTTTTGCACGGGTTATTATTAAATTATTCATTTTTTATTATTTTTTTTGTAGTATATGTAAATGTGTCATTTGGCTATGGCGAGGCCAATGCATGCTAGATCTCATCTTTACGCCACGCGATCCTCGAGCTTATTATTAAATACTAAATAGGATAGATAGTAACGTGGTTTATTTTGGAGAAAAATGGAGTAACCATTTCTGCTGGTTACTTCAGAACATACTAGCTAATTTTTTATATATTTTTTCATCAAATTAAATTATGTTTTTAAAAATTTTAAATGTTATATTACTATTTTAAAAAGGGTTTATTGATTAATATATTAATCCTTTAGAAAGTTGTCAATATAATTTTTCATAAGATCAGTGTTTTAATTTTTGCAAATATGAATATAATGACATTTTATGTTATAAGAAATTAATTTAGTAAAAAAATTAAAATTTTGAGCGACATAACTTTACATTGTCATATAATGATATATAACATATTATCATATTTATTTATGTGTTAATTTTTCTGCACTTCTACCTTTTGTTACATTTTTTCTTTATCCTGTATATTTCTTTTTTTTTTTGCACTATATTAATTTCATGTCTTATTTTTTTTATTGTCCAATTTTCATTCTAATGCAATTATCATCATAATTACAAGGCACTATTTTTTTTCTTTCTTTTTTTTTCTCAATTTTTTTCACATATAATTTAGAATTTGCTAATCTATTTTGCATGTGAATTTCTCTACAATTCTATTTTCTATTAATCTCCCTTTATCCTTTATATTACATTTATGTGTTTTATCCAATCCAACTTCTATTCCTCTATTATTTAATTCTTATCTCACTATAATCTTCATCTAAAATAGAAAGTACTATTTTTCCTTTTTTTCACTATTTTAAATTTTTTAACGCATAATTTGAGATTTTTTTTGCTGTTGTTTTCTTATATTTGTATATATATACACATATCTTATTTTGTATCACAATATAGAAAACAAGATTTGTTTGAGAGATAATAAACTTTGGACTTTTTCTCTACCATCATGTTGCGAGCCATCCTTACTAAAATAATCAGGGGAAAATGTTATCCAAGAGACGGGATTAATGCTATAACGAATGAAAAATGTTTTTTTTATCCATGTGTAAAAGCGGACTTTATTGTAGAATTACTTAAATTAATAAAGTTATTTTTAAGTTATTTATGTTTTTGAGATGATTTAATACAATGTTGTTATGGATTATATTGACTCAGATGACATGATTTTTTAAAAAAAATTGGTTGACTTTAGTTTAGTTATATTGAAATCGTTACAGTTAATGATAATTTCACTGATGTCACTATTAGTTATTTTCACCTGGTTCCACTTAATTTTTTTAATTATCGTCGTTATGACCTATAACTACTTTATTTTTATTTTTATTTTTGTCATTAATTATGGCCTATAACGTCTTAAAAAAAATTAAAGTAGCTATGGATCATATGGATCATAGGCATAGCAACCAAAATTAAAATAAAAAATTATTTTTGGACGGCATGGCCTATAGTAACATGAGTCTTATATATACCCCTCTTCCCGTTATGCTTGTTTATTATGGATTCTCATGTGATTACATAGTCAATACTTACATTTGTATTTTTCAGAGGTGATATAATAGGTGGTTCTTGATATTAGATTATATAATTATATTTATGCTGTAAATATATATTTTAGTTAGTTTTATTTTGGTTAGTCATTGATTAGTTGGTTAGTCTGTTCCTTCTTAGTCTCATATATTTAAGGGGTAGCCTGGTATTTTCATTATTAGATTTTCCTCATTCCCTAAATACAATTGCAACAATATTTCGTTTTGCTTCTTCTTCATTCTTGAGCTATCATCACTGTAATAGCATCAATATGGTATCAGAGGGATATAATTACACTTTTTGATCCTCCCATTACCTTTCTTTTTTTCTTGGACCTGTGGTTTCTTGCTCCCATGGCAGAACCCTCCAAAGACCCTACCCTAGATCCAACCCATCCCCTTTTTCTTCACCATTCCGATGGCCCTGGCCTTGTTCTCACCTCTCAGCCACTTGACAACAAAAATTACACAACCTGGAGTCGTGCCATGTTGGTGGCTCTTTCCGTCAAGAACAAGATTCCGTTCGTTGATGGTTCCCTTCCCAAACCTGCCGCCGATCATCCTACATATCCTGCGTGGATTCGTGGGAACAATCTGGTTATCTCTTGGCTTTATAATTCTGTTTCAAAAGATATCATAACCAGTATTTTGTTTGCAAACACAGCAAAAGAAATTTGGGACGATTTGAAAACCAGGTTCTCCAGGAAAAATGGCCCTCGAATATTTCAGCTTAGGAGACAACTTATGTCTCTCCAACAAGGAATTGATGATGTGAGCACCTACTACACGAAATTGAAGTCCATTTGGGAGGAGTTGTCGGGATACAAACCCTCTTTTCCCTGCACCTGTGGTGGCTTACAACATCTTCAAGAATACAATGCATCTGAATATGTAATGTCTTTCTTGATGGGGCTGAACGATTCTTTTTCTCAAATTCGTGGCCAGATTCTTTTATCTGATCCCTTACCTCCCATTGGTAATGTCTTTTCTTTAATTCTTCAAGAAGAAACACAGAGAGAGATTGGTACTGCTATAACTCATACTCCCTCTGTAAACTCCGATAGTATGGCTTTTCTTGTTCATTCCTCTAACAAATCTGCTGCTGCTGATTCTAATAAAACCTATAAAAAGGAAAGGCCTAAATGTGCACATTGTGGTATAATGGGCCACACAAAAGACAAATGTTATAAACTTGTAGGATATCCTCCTAATTACTTCTCTAAGAACAAGCAAGTTCACGTTGCTAATCAGGTTCTTGATAACCCTGAATCTTCCGATCAGAACAAATCTGACATTTTAACACCTGCCCAATGCCAGCAATTAATCAATTTCCTCACCAATCAAATACATTATAATAAATTATATTTTTATTTTTATTTTATAAAATAAACTTAATTTATATATTTAAAATATGATTTAATTTAATCTATTTTCTTTTTTAATGAGAAGCAATTAAATTAAATTACAAAAGAAAAGAAATAGATATAGATTCAATTTATTGTGATATAAATATTTGTTCCACAGTTTATTTTTAGATTATTGTTATTATTATCTTTATTTATTTATTTTGAAAGAATTTGCTCGACAGCTAGAAATTAATTTCTGGGTCGGTCCGTGAGTGATTTTGTCGGTTACGGCATGCATGTGTCATTATTAAGAGAAGACTGAGGCATGTGATTGTCAGGAGTCAGGACAGATTGAAATTGTTACGTCATTGAATACATAGAAGCCGCTGCCCCCATTTTGTAGAAGCAATTCTTTTTTCTTTTTTTTTTTTAAATCAAACAAGTCTTAATTACATTTTTACAATACAATTTTATAAATTTTGCCTAGAAATATCTTATTTTTAGTTTATATATATATATATATCGAAAAGTTATAATAATATTGATATAATTTTTATTAAATATTACATTATTAAATAATTTTATATTAAATATAAATTTTGTAAACTCAACTGTTAAATTAAAAGTTCTTTATTCTTAAATTATATATATACAAAATTTTATATTAATTCAACATGATTTAATATTTTATTTTTATAAAATAAAATTGACGTAATATATTTATTTTAAAATATATTAAGATATGAATATTTTGATTATTTTCAAGTTGTTATTCTATTTTAACAAAATTTAATATATCTTGCTCCCATGGCAGAACCCTCCAAAGACCCTACCCTAGATCCAACCCATCCCCTTTTTCTTCACCATTCCGATGGCCCTGGCCTTGTTCTCACCTCTCAGCCACTTGACAACAAAAATTACACAACCTGGAGTCGTGCCATGTTGGTGGCTCTTTCCGTCAAGAACAAGATTCCGTTCGTTGATGGTTCCCTTCCCAAACCTGCCGCTGATCATCCTACATATCCTGCGTGGATTCGTGGGAACAATCTGGTTATCTCTTGGCTTTATAATTCTGTTTCAAAAGATATCATAACCAGTATTTTGTTTGCAAACACAGCAAAAGAAATTTGGGACGATTTGAAAACCAGGTTCTCCAGGAAAAATGGCCCTCGAATATTTCAGCTTAGGAGACAACTTATGTCTCTCCAACAAGGAATTGATGATGTGAGCACCTACTACACGAAATTGAAGTCCATTTGGGAGGAGTTGTCGGGATACAAACCCTCTTTTCCCTGCACCTGTGGTGGCTTACAACATCTTCAAGAATACAATGCATCTGAATATGTAATGTCTTTCTTGATGGGGCTGAACGATTCTTTTTCTCAAATTCGTGGCCAGATTCTTTTATCTGATCCCTTACCTCCCATTGGTAATGTCTTTTCTTTAATTCTTCAAGAAGAAACACAGAGAGAGATTGGTACTGCTATAACTCATACTCCCTCTGTAAACTCCGATAGTATGGCTTTTCTTGTTCATTCCTCTAACAAATCTGCTGCTGCTGATTCTAATAAAACCTATAAAAAGGAAAGGCCTAAATGTGCACATTGTGGTATAATGGGCCACACAAAAGACAAATGTTATAAACTTGTAGGATATCCTCCTAATTACTTCTCTAAGAACAAGCAAGTTCACGTTGCTAATCAGGTTCTTGACAACCCCGAATCTTCTGATCAGAACAAATCTGACCATTTAACACCTGCCCAATGCCAGCAATTGATCAATTTCCTCACCAATCAAATACAGCTTAACAATCCTGCGAGACACTTAGTAGATCTTCATTGGAGAAGGACCTCGAGTTGTTTCCTCATGGTGAATTCACTGAAATAGGAGAGAGAGGAGTTAACTTGAGTGGAGGTCAGAAACAAAGAATTCAACTTGCACGTGCTCTTTATCAGAATGCTGATGTATATCTCTTAGATGATCCATTCAGTGCTG